TTTTTTTTTTTTTTTTTTTTTTTTTTTAACGCTTCTCTTTTCTCACACGCTTTGTCGGGCCTCTGATTACTGTCATGACATGCCGTCCATGACCTTTGACCTCTAGTAACCGACCTTTATGGCTGTCTTCCAGATTACCCAGGAGGCTGGGGAATTCATGATCACCTTTCCCTATAGCTACCACGCGGGCTTCAACCACGGCTTCAACTGCGCTGAGTCCACGAACTTCGCGAGCGTCAGGTGGATCGATTACGGCAAGGTGGCCACTCAGGTGAGTCGATGCTGACGAGCGTGACCGCTCGTGACCCCATCACCTTGGATGACTGTATACCACCTGCCTTTTTTTTTCTCCTCTGACCTCTCAGGGTGGCATGTTGGCCTCGGTTTCCTGAAAAACACTTTGCTTTTGAGCTTTGGTAGCCATCCCTAGGCTGCAGCTAGTGATGGCCAGATGAAGCCTCATGAACCATTTGCTGTATTTTTTAACACCACTAGATGGTGCCCTCTATTGGGGGAAAAAAAAGGCTCAATCCATCCCCCAGAACAAACCAAGAGCACCCTCTGCTGGGGTAAAAAAAAACAAAAAAAAAACAGAATAAAAGATGGTTCATGACGCTTCCTATGGCCATCACTAGCTGTAGCTGCCGGGATATCTTTGGTTCTGATTACATCTGTGATAAATAATTAGCTGGCAGAAGTTGTGCATATTAGAGTTGCTTAAAGGCCCTGACTGACTTTGTGTTTGTGTGCAGAAGCTAAGTAAAGGAGTGATTAATGTGTGTCACGTGAATGTCGGAGACTAAGAACGTAACAAAACAAAGTTCATGCCAGAAATGAATCAAACAGCACTTTGGAGGCTGCTGGTGCTCCTTGTCTTGCTGGCGTCACTCAAGGAGGCTCCGGGATGTTACAGGAAATATCCATCATGCTTCAAAGCAACTGAGATGTTTTATTTCCGAGGTGTGACCGTCTCCGCCTCACCGATAACGCACTGAAAATCTACCCTGAAATGCTTAAATATAGGTCTGGGATGCAACCGTGGTCCCCGATTTCAGAAAGAGGTCAGAATTTGGTCGATAATGTTTTTAATTTGTCTTTTTTTTTTTTTTTTTTTTTTGGTCGATAATGTTTTTAATTTGTCTTTTTTTTTTTTTTTTTTTGCGAGAAACCATTACTCCTCCGCTATGTCCAAGGTTCAGCTTTTATTATCGGTCTGTCTGCATGTTTTTTTTTTTCCCAAAAATTGAGTAACTGACAGAGATCAACCATCAAAAGGCCTTTTCAATCAGATCTATGATGAGCAGCCAGTGAGTCAGACGCTTGATCAATAAAATATGAAAGTTGGCTTGAACCGTGGGGATGGGGGGGGGTGTTGGGGTTTCACTGCAGCTCAGGGAACCGTGTGGAATTTTAACCCTGGGCTTCATATTGAACCACACTTTGAGACTCATACCGCTACATATACAGACATTGCTTAGGAGCTGTTAGTCATGCACAAGTCAGTCTGTCCCCATTTCTCTATACTGATGATCATGTTAATGTGAAATTTGACACCACACAGGGAAGGAGGAGTTTTCTGGGTGACTCGGGGGGGGGCGCGGGGTGGTGGTGAGTTCGTACTGGGTCACCAGTAGGGTACAGAAACCTGAAAATCCATCAGGTGCATGTGTGCAGTGTTCAACCCTTACAGATGGGGGGTGGGACACTGTTTCAACGTAACAAAGTGACAGCCTCCTGGTATTGTCCCCTGCCTTCCTGTCACTTCACCTTCATCGTCAAACTGGGGGGGGTGGGGGCTTATCCCCTCAAACCCTTAGAAATGCGCTTGCTTTCTCGGTAATACCCAGAAAGCAACTAGCCCCGCCCCCTCACGTTCTCACTTTTCGGGTCTGCCTCATGGAGCCGGCCCCGGCCGGCATGGAAATGCGGTGAGGGTAACATGCGTGAGCTCAGCCTTCGTACCCCCCTTCATTAGTGGGCCGTTGCCGCTGAACCGGGATGGATGGCCCTTGACCAGCACAAATGCTACACGGGCTGTAATGTGCGGGGCACTAAGCCATCAGGCTGGCGTGTTGGCGGGTATGTGTCAGTCTGCGTGGCCGTCTCGGAGAAGTGGTGCAGGCGGAGGGGGTTCGGGGGGACCTAGTGGTCCGTCAGCCCAGGGCTAATGGCCAGCGGTGGTTTGGGGGTCCGTGATTCATTTCCCCGCCCCGGCGATCAGGACGCGGTTGCGATCGAGGCCAGGTTTCTCTTCAGCGGTACCCTGGCAGCGTGGGCGTCCCTGAAAGCGCCTGATTGGCTGGCTGGTCGCCACTCGTCACGTGAGATTCCATTCTGTTTCCTCCATGGACAGCTGCGAAGTAATCCTCGCCCCTTAGGTCAGAATCGGGGAGACGAAGAGCTGTTTTCGAAGTGACGTCGATTCGCTTTCTGCGCCTCGCGGTACGTTTTGAAGAAACATTATTGACAAGCAGTAAACCGGCGCATCTATGGAATTTTTTCCACCCATAACATTTTTCAATGAGTAGCTGTCATAAAAAAAAACATGGCTGTAAATAAAATGTGTGGCATCTTATTAAAAAAAAAAAATATATATATATATATAT